CGCCGCTGCTGCTGCTGCGATGCTCCCCCGAGGAGGCAGCCGCTGAAGGATGAGCGCCGCTGCCCGCCGCCGCCCCTGCCCTATCCCTTCGCCGCCGCCGCTGCCGCTGCTCCTGCCGCTGCTCCTGCCGCCGCCCGGGGCCTGGGGACTGCTGGCCACCTCCGGCGGTAAGCGCGCCCCGCCCTTCCCGGGCTGCGGAGCATGGGCCAGGGGCCTCCCGTCCCTCCCCTTCCCTGCGGGCGAGGGTTACAGTTCCCATCACCTCCAGGCAGCCGACGCCGGTGGGAAGGTGGGGGGGGGCTCAAGCGCGGCTCTCCCGCAGGCTCTCCCCGCCATCTGGCTCCGGCCTCCCCGCTCCTCTGTCCTGCCCGTTTCCTGGCTCTCCTCCCCTTGCAGGCTCGCCCCGGCGTCCTGAGGTGGGGATGATGGGAACTATAGTCCAAAGCATGCAGGTTGCCTTTTCCAAAGTCCCCCCATCCCCTCCCCGCCTTTATTCAGCCCGCGGGGTCTGCTTCCCTAACTTTTTGCCTTGAAACGGGGCTCCCCATCTGTTGGGGTCGTTCTTCCTCCTCCCCTTTTCCTCCAAGTGCTCCTTCCGTGCCAGCTGTTGCCCTTTGAAACGCCTTTGGGGTTCCCTGGCCCTTCTGACCCCCCCTTCCCTGCCCCCCCCAGCAGGCTTGCCTTGCTGTTCCAGCGGCTGCCCCCTCCCCTCCTCAGAGGTGGTCAGCCAGCCAGTTGCTCCCACTCAGCTCCCACCCCCCTCTTCCCATGACATCATTTCTGAAAGCTCTTGGCAACTTTCATCCTCCACCCCCCCCCCAACTCTCTGGAGAGTTTCTGCTGGGAAATAATCCAGGGGGCGGAAGGGGCTCCTCTGGGCCAGCCTGGAGGGTTTGCAGCGGCTGCCCAACACAGGCAGCTCCTGCAGCCTTGTCGGGGCTTCTCCTCTCTGCCCCCTGCCCCCACGGCTGGGGTGTAGCTTCGTGTGTTTGTGTGTGTGTGTGGGGGGTCTTGTAAAGGATGAGACGGATGGCATGTGGGGGGGAATCCACTGGAGGCACTTTGAGCGGCTGGTGGGTGAGGCTCCTCTGACTCAGCCATCGCCCCCTTCTCTCCCCCAGCAATGCTGTTGGGGGGCTGGCAGTTTGGGGGTGGCGGAGTTGGGAGAAGCTGAGAGCAAGAGAAGCTGTTCATCTTCCTCTGGGAGTTTTGGAATCGCTGCCCTGCGAGGGTCTCCCTGGCGTGGGTGAGGGTGGGGTGGGGGTGTCGGGCAGAGAGTTTGGCCCTGGAGGAGCCTGGAGGCCATTCAGCCAATTCGGGGCCTTCTTTCCTGTCCAGTCCATTGTCCGAAGCGGCCTTCGCTTTTAGACAGGAAATGTTTTTCCTCTCTGGCTGCTTCCCCTTTGGGCCAGCGCTCCCTTTCCCTGCCCAAGGGGCTGTTTTGGGACCGTCCCAAAGAGGATCCTTTCCCTGGGTGCAAAAATCGAGGCTCTTTCTCTTTGGCTGGTTCTTCTCTGATTTGGTCTTGACTCTGAGCCTCCTCGAGCCGCCTGGGGCAGTTGCAGGAGCCTGGAAGCTTTCCCAAGATCCCTAAAGTGGATCTCTCAGGGGTCTGAAGATGGTTTGGGGGGGCTTTGGCTGAGTGCTGGAGCAAAGTCACCCCTGATGGAGGGGGCGACGTGTTATTCCACAGGAGCTTTGCAAGCAGGGTCAAATAGCTCGAATGGATCGATCCGAAGATGCTGAGATGGTGTCTTTGGCATGGAGGGGGGCTCGGCCCCATAGAACGCTCTTTCTGGAGAAAGGGAGCCAGGCTCTCTCTGTTCTAGGCAATCACAGCCAGCACGACAATCCGTGTAGGACAGATGGAGATCTGGGTGGCAACTTTTAATCAGGAACGTTGATATTTTCCCCAGCGAGTCTCAGAAATGACAGTCTGGCTTTGAATGACGGGTGTTTTTTTCTGCAGGCGGCAGGCCGGAACTCCCCACCCCCACCTCCCCCAGGGCACCTGCTGGTTGCCTTTGCTGGGCAGATCTCGGGTCCTGTTTCCCCCCCCCCATTTGCTTCTCTTCTCTTGCACTGTTGGGGGCCAGAGGGGCTGGGAGAGGCCAGTCTCTGAGCAGACGTTGCAAGGGCCAGACTGATAATGGATGCCCTGGAATAATCAGACGGCTGACTTGCAGATGTGCATGAAAACATCCTCCTGGACTCCGAAAGGGACAACTTGCCAATTCCCTATGGCCAACTTCCCATGGACAACTCCTCACCATGGGAGAAATAGCTGCGGGGCAATTAATTCAATTTCATTATTCCAAATACATTTAAAAATTTTTGCCATCCCCATTTCATTCTGTCCCTCCTTTTGCACCTTTCCTTCAATTATTCTCTCCCACCATTTTCTTTGATGTTAGTGTCACTCTTGTCCCGCAGTGACTTGTCCTGTGGCGAGTTGGCCACAGCCAATTGGCTTGGCAAGTTGTTCCAAAGATGTTTCCATGCATGTGGTGAATTGTCCTAGACCCTCCTGGACTGAGCCATCTAGGGCTGTGCAGAAACACCACCCCTCTGTCCATTTGTAATGCGTCTCCCTCGTGCTCTGTGAGAAGGGGAAAGTTTTCCGGCACACAGAAAGAACAGGCAGATGTTTCCTTCTGTCTTTCGGCCGTTCCGTGTCTGCCAACAAACCGGCTTTTCTTGAAATCTTTTCTCTGGAGGTCAAAAGTCTACAGGCTGGGAAACATTCCCGCACACACTTGCCGGTGATTGACAGGATTCGCACACAAGGGAGGCGTGTTGTTGTTTTT